GGACAAGCTTAAAACACAACATGGCTCATTTTTATTTTATCAGGAAAAAAACAAAAACAAAAACAAACAAAAAAACAACCATTCCCTTCAGAAGAAAAGGCAGTTAGATAGGGCCTCTCCTGAGGTACCCAGGCCCGCCCCCCTGGCCGGCCAGCCCCAGCTTCCTCTCTTAAGCCACACCCTGGCACCACTCCGTTATGGCTCCGTGCATCCTCGAGCCCAGCTTCGTCACCCAAGAGATGGCCCTAGGACCGATGATGTAAGAAGCACATGGCAGCTCACAGCAGCGGGAAAGGGCTGCCTGAGACTCCCTGGGCCAACTCCTGGTGCCAGGACAATAGACCCTGCAGCCAGGGAGGGGAAATAATAAAATAAAAAGGACATCCTCACACTTATGTTTTCTCTAGAAAATATAAATGCCGCCTCCGGGCACAGCAGCTCCAGAATCCTTGGAAAGTCTGGGGAGGCTGGTGTGTGGGGGGCACTCCCCAGCCTCAGGGCCAGCCAGCCTGCTCTGCTACAGCTGCTCTGTGAAGACCAGGTGGCACTTCTGGATGCTTCTGGAGTGGGGACTGGGCCCTGCCCAGCCAAGATGCTCTGGTGCTGTGGCCTTGGCCTGATGTCGGGTCTCCCAGCATGAAATGTCCGCTTCGTCGGACTCCAAACCCTTCCTGCTGGGCCTCATGCTGTGCCAGCCAAGGCTCCCTCTTCAGTCCAAAGTGGGAACCAGCCACAGGAAGGGTCCCCCAGCTCACTCGCTCTTCTCCCAACGTGACTGGTCCCGTCAACTAGAAATAAAGATTTCCTTCCTTTAGGGAGGGGCAAACTCCGTGGCTCGTCAGGACACTCCTGCTCCATCCTGGGCCAGGGGGCCGTCAAAGCCGGGGGATTCTGGGCTCGCTCCCCTGAGCTCATGGCTGAGGAGCTCCATGTCCGGGAGGCCCGTGTCTCCATGGGACTCGTGGGCACCCTCTCCACTCACCAGCCCCAGGGCATAGCCATTGGGCCGCCGTTCAGGATTGGGGGCGCTGCCATTGGCCCACACCCCAGAAGGGTGGCCATTGAGGCGGAGGCTGATCTGCTCTCCATCACTGCCATGAGCTGCCAAGGCCCGGGCACTGGTGCCACCTGCCTTGAAGGGCTCGTGCTGCCTCAGGATGTGGCTGCGAATGATCTTGCGGAAGGTCTGGCGGAACTCGCGAATGCGGTAGGCGTAGATGAAGGGATTCACCACAGAATTGGAGTGGGAGAGGACGATGGCCAGGTACATGAGCCAGGGCGGGGCATGGCTGCACTCCTGGCAGAAGAAGGTGAAGCAGTTGATGATGTGCAGGGGCAGCCAGCAGAGGGCGAAGAGCCCCACGATGATGGCCAGCGACTTGGCCGCATGGACCTCCTTCTGCAGCGTGGACCGAGTCCGCTCCCCTGGCAGAGGCTGGCTCTCCATCTGCTTCAGCTGCCGCCGGGCTGCCAGGAAGATGCGCAGGTAGACACCCAGCATGAGCAGTAGGGGCACCAGGACACAAGCGAAGAAGTTGTAGTACACCATATAGTTCATGGGGACCACGTCCTCAAAGAGACAGGCCACCTGGCCTTCCTCGCATTAAAAAAAATTCCTGCGAGTGGTTCCTGTCCTTCAGCTGACTGCAATTGTTCCAGCCCAGCATGGGCGTCAGGCCGATGGCAAAGGACAGCACCCAGCAGATAGCAATGATGCCCTTGGCCCTCGCGCCGGTCACCAAGCCATTGTACCTGGGGAGAGAAGCCCAGCGTCAGAGGCCTGAGAAACCAGGGTAGGCAGGGCCAAGAGTCAGAAACTCATGCCCTGCTTCCTGCTCCTGGCCTCGGTATCCTCGGTTCAGGGGAGGGTCAAGCCTCGCTTTGGACCTTACAGGAGATAAGAGGACACAGGCACCCAGGAAAGGAAACCACTGCTCAGACCTTTAGAGAGTCACTGGACAGCATTACAAGTAGCCCCGAGACTTGATTAGTTTGGTTTGAGGGAATGAATAAGTGATTTTTTGGAGGGGGAGAAGATGTCACCTCCACATTGGTCTTAGATGAGGCTTCCCTTCAGAGTGGGAACGGGTCGGGAGGGCGGACTCCTTGGCTGGGGGCAGAACCGGCCAGATCAGACCTGTCGGTGATTCACATCTCTGATACTCTATGCTCTTCCTTCCCGACTTAGGGTCTTCAGAAGTGGCACAGCGGGGGTAAGCGAGGGGTGGAGGTCCCAGGTCAAATGAGATAGCCCTTTTCCCCTCCAAATTCACCCACGGCCCTCTGGAGAGAGATGAGATCAGTGTGTTTTAACCTTTCAATAGCAGTCTTAACTGTGAGGAGGAAAGAGTTGCATGAGGTACTGAGGTCCAGAGAGGAAAAGTAACCTGCCTGAAACCCCTCAGCACTCTGGAGAGCCAGACTCAGTCCCAGGCTCAGGGAGTGGCCTGATCTGCTGGCCAGGAAGCGGACCAGCCCACAGAAAAGGTGGCGTAGGTTTCACTAAAAGAACCAAAAAATCCTCTCCCTGATTGAGGAAGGGGACCTCAGTGATCTCTGAGGGATGACCTTTTGTTACCGGTTCTGATTCTGGTGACAACAGACCGCCCTCCCCTCTACCTGGTAAACTCTACCCACCCTTCAGATTCAGGCTAGATATCTTCTTGAAGAGGTTTCCTGCCCAAGAGCAACTAATCCCTACCCCATCTGGGCCCCCGAGGCTGGGGCCCCGGGGTGCAGGGCTTTCCCACATCCGTCTCCACATCGCCAGCATGGAGACGGGGATACAGTAGGTGCCGAGGAAAATGTGCTTTAACTTAATTCCAGAATTGGAAGCATCTATAGACATGATGCAGTCTGTGGAGGGCAAACACGGGGGCTTACGGGCAACAAACACGTGAGACAGGCTGGCAGGTGTCTACTCTGTGTGCAGGAGGCAGATAACACCGCTCCGCCCCTCGCCGCCATGCGGAATGTGTGCCCAGTGCCACCAGGTCTCAGGAGGGGTGGGGGAACCGATTTCCTGGGCAAAATCTCCCGTGCCGCCAACTAATTCAGATTAACAAAAACTTGGTGGCTCTGACCTCTGATCCAGCCCAACCCCCTCATTTTATAGTTGGGGAAACCAAGGCCCAAGGAGAGGAATGGACTCATCTTAGATGTTCCAGGAGCCCAGAGGCAACTCGGGCCAAGGTAAGTTTGTCGATTCTGAAACTGTCCATTCTGAATGCAAACAGTAAGCAGGCAGGGCCATTCCCAGGAGCTCCACGGCCCTGCTCAGAGGGGGCTTGGTGCCTGCAACAGAGTTGGGCAAGAAGAGGGCCAGGGACTTGCCCATTTCTACCAAAAGCTTGCAATGCCCTACTCCACTCTGGAGCCTCAAATGCGAAGTCACGGGCTTTATTTTGTTTCATTTATTTATTTTTTTTCTGCACTTAATCCTTACTTACATAGCACTTGCTCTGCGCTACACACTGTTTTTAGTACTCTACAAATACTAAATATAAGTACTGTCACTCTGCCTCTCTGACCTTCAGTTTCATCATCTGTAAAATGGGACGAAGAATCCAGGGCCTGTGAGTACTGGTCCATAAGGCAGAACGTAAAACCAGTAGGTGGAAATTACAGGGAGTTCAGATCGTGGCTCAGAGTAAGAGCTTCTCAGCGGAGCTGTTCACAGGAGAGATGTGCTGCCTCAAGTCGCAGTAAGCTTCTTGTCATTCGAGGCAAACAAGCAGAAGCAAGCAGTTTTAGGGATGGTGTACAGCAGCAGTCCCCAACCTTTTAGGCAGCAAGGACCAGTGTTCCCATGAGAATCTGATGCCTGATGACCTGAGGCGGTGATGCTGGCCCTGGGGAGCGGCTGCAGATACAGAGGAAGCTTCACTCGCCTGCCACTCACCTCCTGCTCTGCGGCCCTGGTCATAACAGGCCATGGACTGGTAGATATCTGTGGCCTGGGGGTTGGGGACCCCTGGTGTAAAGGATCCTGGAGGCTACCTGCCTTGAGGACTTTCAAGTTGTCCTCCAGCAGCAGACAACTTGAAAGACAACTTCTTGCCCTCATTCCCAGGCAGTGACAGAAGTGTAGCTGCTGGGGAAGGGAGGAAGCTTAATAATATTCACTGAATGTGTGGTGGGGATGCCAGGGCCTGGCGCAAAGGCTTCAGGGACACGGTCTGAAAATCCCTGGTCTGCCCAGTTGTCAAGGGGAAGTCTGCCACTGCGTCTGGAAAGAAAGCCCCTTGTGGGGACAGAAACACACACCAATAGCACTTGCGTATGTGTCAAGAAAGTCTCTGGAAGGGTTCCCAACACTGCCTTCCGGGGAAGGGAGTGGAGCTGGGGCCGGGGGCAAGGGGGAATATTTTTCACCACACACCCTTTTGCTCTTTTTTGATGCGTTAGTACATGAAAGTATTAGTCATTTTTTAAAAACAGATTAATTTTGTTATTCAACGGAAAGATTAAATTTGTTATTCAAAGGAAAGCCCTTAGGCTTAAGGCCCTGGACTCAGGCCCCGAGGGAGCTGGAACAGCATTAGGGCCCAAATGGAACAACGGCTAAGCCACAGCCCGACCCAGCAGTGTCCCCTGGGACACATCTGTGATTTAGAGCAGTCACATCTTAGCCTCTTGGGGCCCAGACGTAGACCGTCTGGTGGAAGAGGTGACATGGCCATCCAGCATGTTCTGGGGAGCGCACAGGTGTCATAGGAAGAGGATGCCAGAGCCACTGCCCACACTTGGAGGTGCCTGTACCGCTCTGGTCCTCTAGCTCTCAGGCTGCCCCTTCCTGGGGGCTCTCTGTTATCCACATTGAAGGGTCACCCCATGATCCAAGAATCCCCTCCCATGATTCCAGGTAGGGCGTCGGGTGCATTTGCCCCGTACAGAGGAGAAGGGGAGCTTCCCTAAGCTGTCCCAAGGAGCCTGTGATCCAAGATTGAAGAGTTACTGAGTTTGCGTGAAGCCCAAACTCCATCCTGGACACCAGCGGTCCTGAGCTGGCCTTACTCCTTCCTACCTGCCTGTTCTTCTGTCTCCATCACCTCTCCCCAGCCCAGAGCCCCAGGCTCATTCCTTCGTAGGGCCTTTGCCCAGGCTTGGTCCCCTTCCTGTTGCACCTGTGTCCCCCGACCCATCTTGCAAGACCCATCAGTGTCACCTCCTCCAGGGAGCCCTCTCTCCTGATCCTGCCCTCCTTAGAAGCTGGGGCATTCAGGTTTTGTCTCCATGGGGGTGATTCATTACATAAGACTTCAGGCCTCCTCATCAACTGCTGCTCAGCACTTGGCCTGTTTGCCAAGGAGAGAGAGTGCTCACCTGAGAGACAGGAGCCAATGCGTGCGAAAGTCCCCTGGGCAAAGGAAGCCTCTGTCTCTTACCCTGGCCTCTCTGTCCTGGGGGCTCCCATCTCTGCCTCTGGCCAGGCTTCTTTCTCACCGACTTCCTGAGTAGGCCCTGCCCTAGCCCACCAGGATCCCTGCACTTGGAAAGAAGCACATAGATTTTTCTGAAACTGAATTCTTAAAAAAAAAGGGGGGGGGAGGCGCGGGGGGAGGAAGGAAGGAAAGAAGAAAGAAAGGGAGGAAGGGCAAGTGCCGCAGGCCTGGGGCTACGCAACCAGGGCACGGGTCAGAGGCTGGGGCTCAGAGTAGCCACATGGACCTGATGAGTGGAAAAGGACACCAGAGGGGGCTCGGTTCCCAGCTGGAAGGGGACAGAGGAGGACGGGCAGGAACGGCAGCCCAGCCAGGCAGTGGCTCCAGGGCCGCCTGGAGCTCCGGCTTCTCCTGTTCCTCCACCTAGTTCCCCCTCATGCCCAGTTTGCCCTCAGGAGCCCCCACAAGAACACCTTTGCGAACCTCACCCCCTGGCCACTGCCAGCCCAGGGCCCTTGAGGAATTGAAAGGGACCCAAGGAAACCTGGAACCGTGTGAAGGGTCCTGGAGTCCCCAGTGTCAGGAAACACTTTTCCTTCTCCAGCTCTGGCTTCCCCATGAGTAACAGGAGGGTCATAATATCCGCCCTGCCCCAGCCACAGTGCCTGCTCCAGGATCAAGTGAGATGCTACTGTGATAACATCATCTGGCAACTGTGAAGCTCTCTGCCCGAGAAGGAGGCTGAGCAGCAGCAGCATCCTCACCCCCATCAGCTCCCAGATCCAGGAGACCCAGGCTGATCCTTCCAAAGGCTTATCAAGCAGAGTTCAAATGACCAGGGTCTGAGTACAACTAGGTCCCATTCCAGAGGATCATGGGAGTCAGGCATGGGGTGGAGGGCAGGCTCATGACTCTATCCAGGGGCCTAGCTCTGAGCCTCCGACAGCTCAAGAAAGAGCTGAATCCCTACCCACCCCACCCACCAACCTCCTTCAGGGCCTTGTCACTCCCATCCACTCACTGGACCCTCATAACACAACACCTTTGTGAGCTCAGAAAGGTTCGTTCCCTCTTACAGACCAGAGAGGGACAGCTGACTTTCCACGGTCACACAGCATGTCCCATCCTCCTACATCGGGGAGTCATTCTTTTGACTCTCAGAAAACAAAAGCAAGAAAAAGAAGCTGAGGCCATTTCGGTTGAGACCAGCAGCCTTGATCTCTCCCTAGAATGCTGTTGCCCTGTGAGTCAGGGGAGAAAGTGAAAGCAAGGCCTCTGCTTCCCCAGAGAATGTTTCCATCAGGGCTGGCCCAGCCCTAGCCCATGCTCGGCCTGGTCTACCTGGAAACCCACAGACAGGCCTCCATATTCACAGCCGTCCCTCGACGAGCCTGGACTCTGGACTCAGCTCTGCCCGCTGAGGCTGGCCTTCTATTTTGACAAGGGTGCTAGGCTCTCCTGCGATGCAGAGCATCCCGTAGGGCCACATGGGGCCCAGGCTCTTTTCCTCATTTGAGCAACATGACGAGGGTGCCCGCTTCCCTCTTAGAGCCCTTGTGACAAGAAATGGTCACTTGGTGCAGGTTCTGGGAGACAAAGGCCACCCTGTGACTCAGCTCCCCAAAGACTGAAGGTGCAGTGGGTGGCAGGCCACATTTCTTCCCAGGCCCAGTCCCAGCTGTGCTACTAACTCGCTGTGTGGCCCTGAGGGCTGGCTCCCTTCTCTGGGCCTCATTTTTCCATCCAGAAGATGAGAGGAAATGACCTCTACGGGCCCCCTTGGGCTTGACACTCTAAATTTCCATTTGCTCATTAAGCCTGCTTTTCCTCCTGGCTGGGGTGCCCTTGGCCCTGCGTGGGGCGGCTGGGGTCTGCTCCACAGGTAGGCACCCCACCTGTTTGGGAGAATTCACCAAAGGGAATGGGGTACGCCAGTCCTTTGAGACCTCCCTCAATGGGGTCCCAGCCACCCTTCTACCTCCAGCAGGAGGGACATTCCTAGACTTCCTGGCCAGGTAGGTGGAGGCCTTGGGGCTCAGCCTCCACCTCCAGCAGGAGGGACATTTCCTAGACTCAAAACTGGCCAGGTAGGTGGAGGCCTTGGGGCTCAGCCTCAGGGGAAGTCTTCGCTTACACAGTAAGTGGCTGAAGGATCCAACACAAAAATCCCCTCCACCAGCCCGCCCTCCTCTCCCCAGTGCACAGGCTGCCTCCCAGACCATGAGTACTTGGTGACCTAAACAGCACAGAATTTGCATATAGGTTCAAATGACTCACTGTGGCATTTGGCCAAGTCACTTCCCTTCCCCTCTCTAGGTCATTTTCCTAATGTGCGAACTGTGAGACCAGCCCAGAGGAGCTGGAGGAGGGCGGGCAGGCTTCTAGCCCCAAGGTCCTGTGGTTTCCCCGCGGCGCCCCGCCCACCCCAGCATCATGCTGTGCGAGGGATGGGCCAGACTCACAACCCAGGCCTGGGCCACATGCATCTACCAGAGCATGGCGGCCTCTACCGCGTAGCCTGCGGGAGTCTGGGAAGGGCCAAGGTGCCATGTGCCCACAAGGACAGCTAGGCTGTACAACTGCTGGCCACGTGTCAAGACCTGGGCAGCCCCAGACTGAGCTCCATGGCCCTGTCACATCAACAGTCTGACACCACAGACCTCACCCTGACCCTGGGTTCACCACACAGACCAGACCCTGGCACAGGCAGCCTTTGAACAAACATGAACCCAGCACGAGCTGTGCCATGGAAGAGAACACGGGGCAGCCCACCCCCGGGGCCCCCAGCTCACCGGAGTGGGATGCGGATGGCAATGTAGCGGTCAATGGCGATGGCCAGGAGGCTGAAGATGGAGCTCTGTGTGAGGACCAGGACAAAGCAGGCGAAGAAGAGGCAGCTGTGGCAGGCGGCACAGAACCCTATGCTGATGGTGATGGCAAAGGGGATGGCAAGGACTCCCACCGCAATGTCGGCTGCCGCCAGTGACACCACAAAGTAGTTGGTGACATTCTGCAGGTTGCTGTTTAGCCACACAGCCCAGCACACCAGCACATTGCCCAAAACGGCCAGCACAGCAATGGCCAGCTCCACCACGATGTACACTGAGGAGCCCATGGTGGGCATGGCCGCAGACAGACAGAGTCGGCAAGGACGCGGGCCGGGCCAGCTCACGGTCCATAGCTGCAGTGCAGCTGGCCCTGCTCAGGCCCCTGAGCCCCTTCCTGACAGGAGCCAAGAGCGTCCCTGCTGTTAGAGCGGACGCTCTCTAAGGGCTTCTCCACGGCTGCCTTGGAGTCTCCAGAAAGCAGACCCCCTCCAGGGGCACCGGTGGCATCTTGGATCAGCTCAGCATCAGTTCCCAAGGTACCTGTCAAAGGAGAAGCCACATGAGGACCCGGACCGCGGCAGAGTGGGCACAGCTAAAGAAGGTTCCCGGGAGTGGCCCGCAGCCACAGGTTCCGTTTATTTTCTAGTAGAGCTGAGAATCTTTCCAAGTTAAGTCACTAGTGTCAGCCCCCCGTGCTCAGCTTCTCAAGCCCTCGGTGGCAGCCCTGCCAGTCTCCTGGTCCCTGAGCTCCAGCTCTGCCATGACCCTCCAGCTCTCCCAGGCCCACCCACCTTTTCTCTCAGGCAGCCTCGGTCAGCTCCATCCCCCGCGAGCTCTCCCTGGAAACTACCAGCACCTCCCCACACGGCCCAGGTCAGGAGCAGGACCGATGATCCCTAGAGCTCCCATCTGGAAGGATCTGGGGGTCCGTCTGGGCCTGTCTCCCACTGCCAGCCGGTAAGTCCTCTTGCCTCACCAGCAGCGCTGCACAGGGTGGCAGAGCAGGCACAGAGGGAGCCCGCCCCTTAGCAGCCCCCGCCAGCTGACTGCACACCTGGGCGGGGCAGCGGCCTCGCCTCCCTTCTCCCACGCCCACTCCCCAGCCTTCTCCTCTGCCTGGCTGACACGGGGACAGACTGAATTCAGTTCGGCGTCAGGCAGAAAGTGGGGCGCTCAGCCTGGACTTGCTGGGAGACCGTGGACGAGGATGGTTTTCCTTTCTGGGTCTCGGTTTCCCCATTAACACAGTGAGGAGACTGGACCCCACAGAGCCTCTGGGGGCCTTTTCAGCTCTCAGCCATGAGAAGGAAAGAAACAGATTTGAAAGGGCTTCCCCAGATTCAAAATGCCATAGAAGTGTAAGGAATTACTGAGACCCCTCAGAAGCAGCAGCCAACGATCTTGATCTCTCCAGCCCAAACCCCCAGTGAACCCCCTTGAACTTGTAAAATGGTCTCCATTCCCCTGCCAGCCCCAGGGGCCTCTCCCCACTGCCTCCGCCTCCACCCGTCACACTCACGTATGCTCACAGTGTCCCCCATGCCAAATCCACCACCCCCTCCAGTCCCTCATGGGGCCCTAAGAGTGCACAGGCAGCAGCTGCCGCCTGGCCGGGGACAAGAGGCCCAAAGCTACCTTTCAGCCATCTGCACAGTGGGCTCTGGGGGCTACATTCTCCCTCTTTCCTCCAGGAAACAAGGATCAGGTGGGATGGCCGACCTTGGGAGAAGGTCACTCGCCATGTTCCAAGGGCCAGGCTCCTCCTGCCCTGTCACAGAGGTGACATAGGGTTGCAATAGATGAGCCCCAAGTTTCCTTCTAACTCCAATGTGCCTCAGGTGGTTGGAGCTGCGCTGGCATGGGCTGCAGCCACACCCGGGGGGCGTTCTTTGTGCCCACTAGGAGGCTCGGAGTGGAGCATCCAATACCAGAAAGCAGGAGGAGAGAAGAGGAGGCCAAGCTTCTGAGAAACCACGAGGTTCTCACAGCCTGTGGCTTCTCCCAGGCCTGGCAGGGGCCCACTGCCAAGGGGCACAAACAAGCGCTGCTGAACTCCCGCTACACAGTGGGCACTTGCCGGCCAGCTGTTCACAAGTGAGTAATTGGCAGAGGCGGGCCACACCAGATCTCCTGGTGCCATCCCTGGCCACACAGGGCGTCCCTTGGTGTTCCCAGCCTGCAGCCCAGAGCAGCATTCATCAGCGCCCGCCCAACTGCAGAGGCTGTGTCCAGGGTTGTCTCATCCTCGTTGTGCAGAAGGGAAGTGACAGGCTCAGGCCTGCCTTCCACTTGGGGCCTCCCAGGCCCAGCCGCAGCAGCAGAAGCAGTATCAGCGCCCAGTCTGATCGGGCCCAGCCAGGCCAGGTAAGCCCCAGGGAGCCTCCCACCACCAGCGAGTTGCCCACCCTCCTAGCGCCTCATAGCCACCTGCGTCCTTCTGACGCCAGCTCCAGCCTCCAGGGTAATTTGCACTGAGAGGTGCAACAATCCCCACCCATTCAACCAGCCCGGGCTAGAAGCCTGATTTGAGTGCAGACCATCATCCAGATTCAGTTGGGCCCTGCCAGGGGGCCAACAAAGTGAGCCTATCGGTGATGCCCTTGACCAAAACACGTATCACATGTCTGTGGAGTGGTAGCTGGGCTGCTCTGATGCACCGTCCAGAGCCCTGCTGATGGGGTCACACCATCGGCACCCACCCTGAATGCTGAGTCGAGTCCCTGTGAGCCGAATGCCTGGTGCGGAAGGGCCTTCGAGGGGCCTAACCCAGCGCTCTGCTCTGTGAGGCTCTCCCAGCAGCCCCAGGGACCAGCTACCTTCTGCGCTCTGGGCTGCCATGTTGAACAGCGCCTGGTACCAACGCCCTTCCTGAAATTGCCTTCCTGCTATCCACCAGGCCTGGGATGCCTCGCCAGATCCTGGACGCAACTGCCCAGATCCTCCTGCCCAGGTCAAGCCTGCAAGGAGCTAAAGACACACCCAAGGCCCCTGCCAGCCAGGCCTTAAAAGGCTGCTTCCTTGCATGTCCCGCTCCCCATCCACTCTTCCTGTAGGCTCTGCTAGCTGCTGACAGCACATCCTCAGGTGAGGCTGGCCTGGCCCCATGGGCAACTTGGGCATCTCCCAGCCGTGAGCAGAGCAGAGCACATCGGCGGAGCCCGAGGCACTGCGGGCAGGCAGGGCAGGGAGGAGCTGGGAACCGCTGTTCTCACCCTTCTATGGGAAGCCGAGGAGCTTCTCGGCATTAGGCTGGCAAATCGGCCTGGAGTGGGGGCACCATGATTTGTGGCCTTTGCCAGGCTTTTATGGTGTAAATGCTCCCATTATGGTCAGTTTCAAGGTACTAATGTGTCACCGACAGAAACTGAGAATCAATGCACACCATCAGTCAGCTCGAGAGAGCCTGAGCCTCTGGTCTCCAGCAACCACAGAGTCACCAAACCCTGTGCTCTCCCAGGGCCTACCTGCCTGAATACCAAGAGTGTACTCCAGACCCTCTTAAATCACTTGTCTCAAATCAGCAGCCTGACGGGGGCATCGGGAGCCATGAGCACCATTTTACAGATGAGGATGCTAAGGCCCAAAGAGGTCAATGAGCTCTCCCAGCCTTGTCATGAGCATAAATTCCACATAAATGCTGGAATTAAGCTGGGGGAAGGCCCATGGAAAACACTGCAGCAGGAAGTGTTTTCTGGGGCCTCCTGGCCCCTCTCCATTTTCCTCCCTTCAGAGGCCTCCAAGAGCGACAGGAAGGTCGCGAGGCCCATGGGGAGGGGATCAGGGGGTGAGGCCAGGATCTGGCAATTTTCTAATCCTTTCTGTTGGCTCTATCCATCTAATTAATCCTTGAGTCTTCTGTTGCTAGCCAGGAGGGGAAATTAAATATTAATCATGTAATATTTCCTTGTGATTGTCCTTTGCTGGGGACAGGGCAGAGGTCAGACGTTGTCCCATACAAACTAGAGACACATGCTGGGGAACGTGCATGACCCTTGAAAAGACAACCACATGGGATTCCCAGCAGTCAGACTCCAAACGCGGCTTCTTCCTGCCTCCTTCCTCACCCCCACGGGCCTGGCCACTTCAATTAAAACTCCATTTAATCAAAACCCACATATCTCCTAGCACACTTCTGTCTCCTTCTATGTCAGACTAGCGAGGCTTTCTGCACACACTCCCAGATGGTGGCTGTACCCCCAGCGCCTGCTGGATGAAGGTTCCCGCCAGCTTCCAGGCAGGATCCTGAATACCTGTTTCTGGGTGCAGCTAAAGGCCACGTACCGAGCCCAGCGGAGGGACCTGGACCTGTCGCAGCCACACCAGACCCACTCCTGGGCTCCAGAGTCCTTGCCTGAGAACCCTCCACTACTTTCTCACAGCAAATGTTTCCCAAATACCTACTCAGTGCCAGGCAGCATCCCAGCTGCTG